GGAAACACGATGGCTGAGCAGGCGTCCAGCAGTGTCTCCTGCCGTTCTCTGTAGCCTCTCCTGCTGCCATGACGTTGGATGTAATTTGGATCTTCTTATTTTGCCTTTTCTGTATCTTGACGTCTATTTCATATTTTTAATTTCTTAGTCTTTCTGACTGCATTCTGAGTAGTGTCCTTGGTCTACTCTTCCTGTTCACCATCCTGCTCATCAGTTAATCTCCTCTTTAACATGCCCATTGAGTCTGTAATTTTAAAGACTAAAATGTTCATGTCAGGAGGTTTTACTTGGTTCTTCATAGTTGCTTATTATTTTTTCATGAGGTCTTGTTCTTTCATTATGGTTTCTTCTTTTTTCCTTTTAAAGCTTTAATTGCATTTCTTTTATAGTTTCTTTCATATTTTCATATTGGTTCCAGTCCTTGGATTGTCAGTCCTCTTGCTTCTTTGTTTTGCTGATTGTCCCTTATGGTAAATGCTAAATGCTCACTTCCATCAGGTTTTGTTTTGCTTTGCTTTGTTTTTGGTTTGTTTTGTGAGTGTGGAAGTCCTTACAAAGCCCTTCTGCCAGCATTAATTTTTACATGGATTTGCTAACTTCGATTTCTGCACCATGTAGAGTTTATAAACTTGGAACCCCTGTCAGCATGGCACATGTCTCAAAGTGCGGTTTCTGATGGGGAAAGCATGTTGGTACTATACCCAGAGCCTCAGGTAAATGACTCTTTGGGGGACTCCCCCATCAGTGGGACTTTTCCTGACCTGTTTTCCAAGAATGGGGAAGACCTTCTAGAACCTATTTTATATGCAGAAAATTGGCTGCAGCTTCCTGCCATGTGGGGCCCAGAGCATCCTGTCACACCAAAACTTCTGCCCTGGGGGTCTTGAACTTGACCTAATACCCTCCTACTCCCAGGTGTGAGATTGAGTGTTCTCTGTGTTTTGGTTACCTATGAACTTGCCATTTTTTCAGGTTTGGCTTTCTTCCTTTTAAGTTTTGGGTCATATTTAATCCATCATTTTTAGCATTTGGAGTAGGAAAGATGTTTCCATCAGCTCAGTCTACCATATTGCCAGACAGGACTCATATAACAAGTAAAAAATGCTCTGTTATGCAGTTCTTCCTGTTCAGTCTCTCATTTGCCTTTTGCTGTATGTTTCCTGTGGTTTAGACTTCATGACTGCATTCTGAGGAGTTTCCTGGGACCTGTTTTCATGTTTATGTTTGGAGAGTGAGAACGTACTGACACCTCTGGTAACTAGTCCAACACCATGGGTTCTTCCTCACATCTTCCTATTACATAGCGTGTTTCTCCTTTGTTCCACAGTGAAAAATGTGGTGCCCAGCTTACGCATGTGTGCTCAGTTGTATTCCCAATCTCTCCAAGCTCAAAAGAGTTGCAAAATTACACCATTAACAACATCTAGGCCGGCACCGTGGCTCAATAGGCTAATCCTCCACCTTGCGGCGCCGGCACACCGGGTTCTAGTCCCGGTCGGGGCGCCGGATTCTGTCCCCGTTGCCCCTCTTCCAGGCCAGCTCTCTGCTATGACCAGGGAGTGCAGTGGAGGATGGCCCAGGTGCTTGGGCCCTGCACCCCATGGGAGACCAGGAAAAGCACCTGGATCCTGGCTCCTGCCATCGGATCAGCGCGGTGCGCCGGCTGCAGCGGCGGCCATTGGAGAGTGAACCAACGGCAAAAGAAGACCTTTCTCTCTTTGTCTCTCTCTCTCACTGTCCACTCTGCCTGTCAAAAAAAAAAAAAAGAAAAAAAGAAAAAAAAGAAAAAAAAAGAAAAAAAAAAACAACAACATCTAACCAACTAGGTGAATTTAGTAACTCTTGTCCACTCGAAGTGTACTATCAAAATATTGTGTTTAAAAGCTCGAGAGGTGGATATTCCATTAATAAGATGCCAGCTGGGATGGCCACGTTCCAGATTGGAGTGCCTGGGTTTGTGTCCCAGTTTCACTCCTGGTACTACTCCTGTATCGTTATATTATTAATCTAATATTCATTTAGCTTTTTTTTCCCATCCAATCAATTTTTAAGTTTACTTTTTGCATGCCCTTTGATTTAATTTAATATTTTTAGTATGTGAGATGTTCACATGGTTTAAAAATCAAAACTATTAAAAAAAAGATAAATTTTACTTCCATCTCCATCTTACTTTCTGACTTTTATTTCCTGTGTTTCTTTTTGAATACATGAATGTATTTATATATATTTGCATATGTATATATATGTGCATGTGTATTCTCACTTCAGCTCCTTTCTCACTGATTGCTACTGTTTTTTTGACAACCAGTGCCTCGATGAATAAAATACCCTTGTGCATCAGTTATTTCATATTATGACCTTATACCTGCAGAGTAGACGCTGGGTCCACAGGTGCGCCCACACGTGGTTTCCCTAGGCATCATCCGAGCCCCTGCTGTTGGACTTTACATTTTCCATTCCCACCCGGGATGAAGCAGAATGCCTCCTTGCGCAGCCCCAGCAGCCCGGAGTGCTGCCTGACTTCACATTTGTGCTGGTCTGGAAGGAAAGTGGTTTTTACGCCCACAACTAGTTTTGAGGGGCACTGAAACACCTCTTCATACACCGTCGGCTCATCTTTTCCCATGAACTCTCCATTCCTATCTTTCCCCCAGTTTTCTTTTCTAGCTTTTTCATATTTTTTCCCATCCATTTTTAAAAGAAATTCTTTATCTGCAATAGAAGTTGTAAATACTTTCTCCTGTTTTTCACTTGCCTAATGATTCAAAGTCCGTTTACTCACCACTGTGTAACCCTTGGTATAGTCAACGCAAGAATAATGTGCTTACGTATAACCTTTGTTTTGAGACACCATTTGATTTACCCAGGAGTCCACAGAATCCAGCAACCTCCACCTAAAGACCCAAACCAGAAATCACCAAATAAAGAGACACACATAGAAAGCCATACCTACAAAGTATATTCCTGGCGCAGAGCTGGAGTAACTAATATGTTGCATAATGGAATCAAAATTCAGAATATTTTAGCAGCCTGGGAATATGGGCCAAAACGCAAAAACATAAAATTTAGTGGAAATAACATTTTGTACTTAGGCTTGGAAACATTAATTCCGTATGTTCGAGATTGGGGACATCTGCCTTCACAGAAATGCATATAGAAATGCATATATGTCTAAACTTTGGGTTTAGCTGACCACGCACTTACATAAGCTCAATAGGATAACAGGTTGCTAAAAGAAAATGTATTCTTAGAGTGAATAGAGAGGTTATCTTGATCAGGGAGAAGTTTGCCTCTTGGGACTTGATACTTGCCAGACCACATTCAGAATGCCACGTTCAGTTTGGGGGACCATAAATCAGGAAGAGTTGTAGACACCCATGACCAAGACCACAGTGGGGCGGCTGAGTTAGTGAAGGGTCTGGAAGCCATGTAGGGACAAATGAGCAGGAACTAGGGAGATGGAATGCGGACCAGCAAAGCAAGTGGTTTTTTGAAGTATTTGAAGGCTACTGCGTAGAAGAGGGATTCGAATTATTTGGTGTTGCTTCTGAGAGCAGGCTTAGGATTGGTGGTGGTCACCTCCAGCAGTGTCAGGCTCACTAGCAGGGACGCTTTCTCACTGGTGGTTAGCAGTGCTGGTTAGGGGAAGGGCTGCCTCCCTGACCTCCGTGTGGCCACAGTGTTGGGACAGAGGTGGCAGGTGTGAGCAGGGCCCTGATGCTGTGCACAGGCAGTGTTGGCCCCAGGGTTCTTGCCCTCTGGCTCTTGGAAGGCAACGTTTCCTTCCTTTCTGGTATCTTCCGTTGGTGGAGGACAAGAGCAGGTAGGGTAAGTGGTCTGTAGGATGTTTTTGGCTGACAGAAGTGGATACAAAGTTTTGGAGAAACATTAGTCTGTAGGATTTAATGTTACTATGTGTCAGCTTGAGGTTTAGCCAAGATCCGGAGCCGGTTTCCTGAGAGCAGGGACTGCACCTTATAGAGAGGGATGTCTGGGTGGTCTCAGTGCCTGCAGGTAGGCATTTACGGTGTGTGCCTGGCTCCTGGCCTTCTCTCGCCGGGTGTGAGGAGAGCACTAACCATGTCTCGGTATAAATTGTACTTGGTTAAGCTCTGCTCTGGGAACTCAGAATGGCTCCTATGGTAATCTTATAATCAGACATGAGTGTGCACACGAATCAGCACAGACCACATAAAACGCGGATTCGGATTCTAAATCGGAGAGATTCTGACCATTCTGCAGCTCCAGCAAGCTCCCCGGTGATGCCAATCATGACGGCTCCGAGCCCACCCTGAGGAGCAGGGTCTGAAGCAGGGTCTGAATGGAAGCCCCTGCCCCAGACTGCCTGCTCCAAATGCAGGTTCCCAGGCAAGACCTCCTCCACTCTCTGGGCCCAGGAATGGGCCTTTGGGCTGGTACTTGGAATGATTCTTTTTTTTTTTTTTTTTTTAAGATTTATTTTATTTATTTGCAAGACAGAGTCACAGAGAGAGGTAGAGACACACAGAGAGAGCTCTTACATTTGCTGGCCCACTCCCCAAATGGCCAGAATGGCTGGAGTTGAGTCAATCTGGAGCCAGGAGCTTTTTCTGGGTCTCCCACGTGGGTGCAGGGGCCCAAGCACTTGGGCCATCTTCCACCGCTTTCCCAGGTGCATTAGCAGGGAGCTGGATTGGAAGTGGAGCAACCGGGACTCAAATCGGTGCCCATATGTGATGCCAGCACTTTAACCTGCTGAGCCACAGCTCTGGCCCCTGGAATGATTCTTAAGCACATTCAAGGTTTTAAGTCACTGGCTTTGGGAAAAACAGAGGGAGAAATCATTCCAGGGGACAGGTGATCCACAGGCAAGGTGGGTGGTGGGACAGACTGGCCAGGGCAGCCGGGACATGGCACTGAACCCCGCGAAGCCTCTGCTGCCTTGTGTGAAACGTGGAGACCATGTGATCTGATGTGTGTCTTCCCGCCTCCCCCTCCCCTGACCTGCCTTGTTCCTCTAGTGGTCCAGCATGCTGTGCCCACCCTACGCCACGGTGCACTGACCATGAGCTTCAACTCCTCCCTCGGCCACAGAAAGGAGCTGAGTAACCTCACCGAGGAGGAGGCTGGTGAAGGGGGCATCATCATCACGGAGTTCATCGCCATCATCGTCATCACCGTCTTTGTCTGCCTGGGCAATCTGGTCATCGTGGTCACCTTGTACAAGAAGTCCTACCTCCTCACCCTCAGCAACAAGTTCGTCTTCAGCCTGACGCTGTCCAACCTGCTGCTGTCCGTGCTGGTGCTGCCTTTCGTGGTGACCAGCTCCGTCCGCAGGGAATGGATCTTTGGCGTGGTCTGGTGCAACTTCTCCGCCCTCCTCTACCTGCTCATCAGCTCGGCCAGCATGCTCACCCTCGGGGTCATTGCCATCGACCGGTAAGCCCAACTCAGATAGACACAGTGGAGAATGCCTGGTCAGCCTTGGTCCCGTGGGAGAGTGTCAGGGCCTCTGCTTGGGATGGTGAGCAGGCTGAAGTCTGTGTCTTCTTCACTCTTTTCACCATGGTACCTCTGATTTTATGTCAATGTTGCATATACATTTTTTTGAAAGATTTTATTTGTTTATTTGAGAAGTAGAGTTACAGATAGTGAGAGTGAGAGGAGGGAGAAAGAGAGAGAGAGATTAAGAGAGAGAGAGAGAGAAGTCTTCCTTCTGTTGGTTCACTCCCCAAATGGCTGCAACGGCTGGAGCTGCACCAATCCGAATCCAGGAGCCAGGTGCTTCTTCCCAGTCTCCCATGTGGGTGCAAGGACTTGGGCCATTTCTACTGCTTTCCCAGGCCACAGTAGAGAGCTGGATTGGAAAAAAAAAAAAAAAAAGAAATCTAAGGGCCAGCATTGTGGCACAGCAGGTTAAAGCACAGCTGGGACTCCCACATCCCTTATCTGGATGCCTGGGTTCAAGTCCCACCTCTGCTTCCAATCCAGCTTCCTGCTAATGCACACCCTGGGCAGCAGCAGCAGATAGCTCAGGCATTTGGATCCTTGTTAGTTATGTGGGAGACCCAGATTGACTTCCAGGCTCCAGCCCTGACTGTTGCAGGCCTTTGGGAAATAAACCAGCAGACAGAAAATCTCTCTCTCTGTCTCTCTCTTTCAAGTAAATAAACATAAAGTCTAAAAACCTTTGATTCTCAATTTACAGTGAAGAAGCTGAAGGAGAAGGAGGTGTCAGGTGGAGCCAGTTTCTGACTTGGCTGTGCTTTCTTCCCCGCATACTGTCTGCTGTGCCTTGCTTTGGTTTTGGTGTGAACTTGTCTGGTGGAGCCCAAACAGGAAACACCTTCCCTTGCTACACTGTCCAGAAGGGCAAGGAAGCAGGGGGAGGCAGACGGACAGCCCAAGATTAGAGACAGGGACATTTGGGAAGACACTGTGTGTGCTTAATCACACCTGGGTGCTGCTGCCTCGGCCCCGGGGTGGGGCACGGCGAGGCGTGGCTGCCTGCGAATCGCACAGGCCTTGCCATTCCCGCACCGTGCAGCCGGATCCAGTTGCACAAGGCTCATGGACTCCAGCAGCTTGGGTTGGACATCATGGGGACGAGGAAGGTCTCTGTGATTTACCAGAAATTGGAAAGGAAGTTAGCAGCAGAAGTCGGGGAAAACAGAAGGGGCGAGCCAGGGCTGTTGTCCCTGGGTGGCGCGAGTCCTTGGCCTTTGTGGAGGGGGGCAGGGGACCATCTGTATTTTTAGCTGACAAGTGGTAGGGAGTCGGATCGTCCATCTGGAGCCCAGGCCGGAACCCCAGGGCTGTCTGTCGCCCTGTGGGGGATAGAGAATAAAAAAGAAGACCTCAGAGGGAATCAGTTACCTTCTCTACATCTTTGTTTATCTCAGTACCAAGAGCAACGCAAACACTAATAGGGTGAAGTGAGAAATACCCATCATCTGACCTCTCGGAAGCCAGCCCATTGATGTTTTCAGTGTATTTGCCTCCAGTGGTTTTTGGTGGTCTACAGAGAATTGCAGAAATAGACTCAAGGTGCATATGGTTGTGTGACCTGTTTTTGTCACTTAATGTGTGACTGTGAGCATTTGCTTCCATCTGCTGATACCCCTGGGGAAGTTTGTAATGGGCGTGAGCCATGTAATATCCTTTCTTTCACAGTTCCCTTGTGCTGGACCGAGTGGTTTAGGTCGGCTTGCTATTGCTATGCACGGCACAGGCAGGAGCATGTTCGTTTGTAGAACTGCTGTGATTTCAATAAAACTAAATATACTTCCAGGGTTCTTAATATATAAAAGCAAATAGCCCTTCAGAAACCTGTGCAAATTTTACTGCAGCCATTTGTCAGTCTCCTATCAAGACCAATTCTATAACATTTACAAAGAAAGTGGTTTGGAAGTTTGCTGGCAGTGGGGGTAGATGGGATGAGATCTCTCTCTCTCTCTCTCTCTCTCTCTCTTTTTAAAGTAGTTTTCCTTTATTTGAGAGGTAGAGTTAGAGAGAGGAAGAGACAGAGAGAAAGGTCTTTCATCCTCTGGTTCACTCCCCAGATGACCGCGACAGCCGGAGCTGAGCCGATCTGAAACCAGGAGCCAGGAGTTTCTTCCAGGTCTCCCACATGGGTGCAGGGGCCCAAGGACTTGGGCCATCTTCTACTGCTTTCCCAGGCCAGAGCAGAGAGCTGGATCAGAAGTGGAGTGGCTGGGACTTGAACCGGCACCCACATGGATTGCAAGCGCCGCAGGCAGAGGCTTAGCCCACTACACCACAGCACCAGCCCCTCATGGTTGTTTTAAATTTCTATTTTTTAATAAAAAAGTCCTGAGTTTTTGTTTATCCCTTCCTGGGCACCGTGCCCTGTGGAATGGAGTGAGGAGACGCAGCGCCCGTGCAGGAGTGGGGAACTGGCCTTGAAGTGCCTCTTGCAGAGCTAGTGCCAGTGTCCCCAGTGGCCGTTCCAGGATGCTGTAAGTAGCTCATTAGGTCTGGGGTCAGGTCAGCAGGACGAGAGCTTGCACCAGCAAGCAGACAGAGAGCCTCAGTTCACGCCACCCCAATGCGTCTTCCCAGAAGCGTTTACCTTGACATCGGGAATATTTGCTGGGGGTCTGCCCTGTGAGCAGTGCTGTGCTGAAACCTGGGGGCCGGTAGGATAGAAGCGTGAACAGGACACAGACTCTGAGCCACAGAGGCCAGCCTGTGTTTGCTGTTGTCAATCCATAGACAGCTCCACGGCCACAACTGCCAGATAGTTGGGGCAGGGGATGCCTCAGAGAACAGGTAGCATTTGCAGTACGTCCTACACAGCGAGCAGGATGCAGGGTGATAGCGGTGGGAAGGGCAGCCTCCATTTATTCATGTGCTGGACGGTGGCTGAGCACCTGGTACCGAGGTTGGTGCTGGGCAGACGTAGCTGGGTGGAATGGATATACTTGCTAGGAGAGTCCCCGTGCAAGAGTAGTGGAGGTAGGCATGTGGCTGAGGACCATAGCATTTATGTAAGATGCCACATGTTTAAGGTACTGTGTCTGAGACAGCTGGAGCCTGGGGAACTGGCTGGACACTGGGACTGCAATCCACACCCCTCAGGCCACACAGGAGAGCTGCAGGGAGACAAAGACTGCTGCAGGTAATCAAGGCCTGGAGATCTTTGGAAAATCATTCCATTTCCCCCTGCAAACACAACCAGATGGATTCACAGTGCTTTGGCCAGATCCTTTATGACCAAATTATCCAGATGCTGTGAAATTTGATGTCTTCAGATATTTTAATGGCAAATACAATTTACTTTTTGAATACTAGTCATTCATTTGGCAAATTGGACCAGCTACTATTTTGATGCTCATAAAAATAATCTTCACTGGACTAGATATTTGTACATTCTTCCCCTGCCTCCTTAGTTTCAGGGAATTAATTTTGCTGGATCTTAGCCATTTTTGGAGCTCACAGGTTTGCCCTCTAGGTTGGAAACCTAAAGGTGTAACTTTGTGCATATGTGTGCATGAGAAAGAGAGAGAGGAAGGAAAGTCAGTAGTGAAAGATAAATGAAGAGAGAGGTACTAACAGAGGCTGGCAATGGAGGAAAGAGGTGGGAACGTTATTAAGAAAGCAGAAATGGAAAACAGCAAAGCCAGCATCACGTGCTTGTCATGTGCCAGGCACTGCACTAAGCTGTTTCCCAACATCCTCGCTAACCCACACAGCAAACTATTAGTCCCCGTTTTGCAGATGAGCGAAATGAGGTTTAAGCGAACTTGCCCCAGGTCACATAGCTTGGCCAGGAGCTGCCTGAGCTCCGAGATGTAAGGGCTGGCCTCTGAGTCACTCCCCAGTGTCGTCAGGGGCAATGCTGTTGGTCAGCGGCAGCACCAGCCTGTCTGCTCTGAACTCAGGGCGCGACCTCACCCTGCTGACGTTTTGCACCAGATACTGCTCTGTGGATCGGAGCGGTCAGATGCATAGCTGCACCCTAGAAGACGAGAACTCCACCCCAGCTGTGCAACCCTGAACATCTATAGACACTGGTAGATAGAATTATTCCTGTCTGAGATCCCTGGCTGAGGAAGTCCAGCAAACTCTTGGACAGATGAGCGCAGAGAGTCTCTCATAGCTTCATGCAGAGAGAGCACAGGCAGAGCATAAACAGCAGGCTGACCGGAGCGAAAGTCAGCATTTGAATGCCAATGTCCTAAACCAGCCGAGTGGGAGTAGGACCCACTGGGGAACTCTAACCTGTGGGCAGCTAACCCGTGGGCAGCTAACCCGTGGGCAGCTCCAGTTTGGCTGTGAAGCTGCTAGGCTGCCAGGTGCATTTGAAATGGCTCACTTGTTCTCAGTCCGCGCTGTGCTGTCAGAACATCGCATTCTGAATATGGCCTTTTGATGGGTGAGAATTGCTGTAACAATGGATGGCTAGTTACAGCGGGAGGACTAGTTATAGTGGGAGAGGAGGACTAGTTATAGCAGGAAGACTCCTAGTTACAGCGGGAGGGCTGCTAGTTACAGCTAGAGGATTGCTAGTTACAGTGGGAGGGCCACTAGTTAAGGCGGGAGGACTGCTAGTTATGGTGACAAGGCTAGTTATAGTGGGAGGGGAAGATTAGTTACAGCAGGAGGACTGCTAGTTACAGTGGGAGGACTGCTAGTTAGAGCAGGATCGCTAGTTATAGTGGGAGGACTAACTACAGCGAGAGGACTGCTAGTTATGGCAGGACTACTAGTTACAGTGGGAGGACTGCTAGTTATGGTAGGAGGACTGCTAGTTATGGCGGGAAGGCTACTAGTTACAGCGGGAAGACTGCTAGTTATGGTGGGAGGACCGCTAGTTACGGCGAGAAGACCACTGGTTATCACTCGGGCCTTTAGGAGATGTTCAGTATAACAACCTGTGTTCACCTCAGGGTAGCTGTGGTTTGCTCGGACTTCGTGCTTTTAGCAAAGGCATCTCGTAAAAAACCCAGGGGTTGCCATCAGAGCGGCTGGTCTGGGTAGGAGAGAGAGCACCCGGAGACCCTGTGTGCGTTACAGCTGTGCATGTACACGTGACTCCATGAACGCCTCCTCTGGGGTCAGGGTCATGCGTGGGCTCGTGTCTCAGGGCTGTTAGAGGAAAGATCAAGGGCTTAGAGGTGTCTGGAAGTGCAGGAAGCAAAACCAAAGCCCTCTCCTGGCCTGTGCGAACCCGCAGGGAGGCGGAGCTGCTTTTGTTCTATTTCTCTTTGAACCTGTAAAGGAGCCCTCATTGCGGCTTCGGTTTAGAAAGGGAGCCTTGGCTCTGAGGTGCAGAACACATGGCCCCAAGCTTTGGTGGCGAGCTGTGCACGTGTTCTGTGTCTCGACGGACGTGTGGATTCATGTACTTCAATGCCTATCAACCTGACCCCATACCCCAACCAAAGAACTGAAAACCGAGTGGCCCCTGGAGGCTGAGGCTGTACCTGGGCAGGGCTGTGGTCAGTGGGGCCTGGAGACTCTTGGAGACTGATCTGAGTGGAGCCAGCACCCGTTCCACCGCCCGGGCATCCCATTGGAACCACAGACTCGGAGGGGAGAAATCACTGTCGGTTCCACTCGGTGCGTGAGGGAATGCCACTGGCTGCAGTGACGGCAAAATCTTGTTGCAAAGTCCTGGTAATAGCTGGCTGCTGGGAAGGGCCCGAGGAAATATGGAAAGCACAGCTGATTAACCACAGTTACTTTTATGATGGCCAGGCAGGGTTGGCGGGAGGAGCCAGGATGGCCATGGGTCACCAGGCCTGGCCTCCCCACCCAGCCACACGCCCCCTGAGGTTCTGAGGCTGCAGCACCTGCCATATTCTTTCAAAGGACAGTGGTCCTTGCGATATGCAAATGGGAATAGGAATGTAGACAAGATCACCTTCCCCCGGTCACTGTGTAGACATCCTACTGTCCACACAGGACCACGCTGGGATCCTCAGCTTGGGCCCCACACCCCAAAACACCCTCTTTCCTGGCTAGATCTCGGCCTGGGCTCATGGCTCAGCAGCCCCAGGTGTCCCTGGCTCAGCGTGTGGTGGTTTAGCTCTGGGGCCCGAAGGCGATTCAGGAAGGTCCCGGCGGAGGAGACGCTGCCCAGGTGACGAGTGAGGTGTAGCCCCACTGGTTTTCCAACACCCTGCCTGAACCATCAGCGTGGTCTCTCGTGTCCCTTTGCATGTTGCCTTCATGGGACAGGCCTGTTTGTGCAAACGGCACTAACGTAGGATGCAGTGGGTGGATGGGGAGGGTGCTGGGTTACTTTCTGCCCCAGGGTCCTCTGCCCATTTCCAGGGTCAGTCCTTTGCTAGGCCTGCAAGGCTCTGGGCACCCCAGCTCCTGCCACCGTCTGGCTTCTCCCTGCCCCCCAAACCTTGCACTGCATGCTTCAGTCTGGGTGAGCCGCTCTCTATGTCCCCATGGTTCACCCATGCCACCTTTCTGTCTGGACTGGTCTTGGGCCACTGCCTGCAACCTTCCAAGATTCAGGTCTTGAGTGCTACCTTCTCCAGGAGGCCTGCTCTGACTTCCTTGTCTGGCCCAGAGGCCCATCAGTGTGAATCAGTAGCCCTGCTGGACTCCCTGCTCTGTAACAACGCCCAGTGACTGGGGACCACCCCCAGCACATGTTCTCAGAAACTGTACATCTTGCAAGGAATTGCTGGGCAGGTGCATCCCAGACCAGAGTCAAACTGCCTGGTCTTTTGTTGTATTTTTAGAGAGAGAGAGAGAGAGAGAGAGAGAGAGAGAGAGAGAGGGAGGAAATGGAGATCTTCCATCTGGTGGTTTACCCCCTCCAAATGGCCACAACAGGTCTGGGCAAGACCAAAGCCAGGAGCCTGGAACTCCATCCAGGTCTCCCACATGGGTGGCAGGGGCCCAAACACTTGAGCCATCTTCTGTTGCCTTCCCAGGTGTGTTAGCAGGGAGCTGGATCAGAAGTGGAGCAGCCGGGACTCGAATCTGCACTCATGTGGGATGCTGGCATCCCAGGCAGTGGCTTAACTCGCTACACCAGAATGCCGGCCCCAAATTGCCTGGGTTTATATCTTGATTGGGCCGTGTATCTGGGACAGGTTATTTTGGCGCCCTCTGTCTGCTTTGGTGTCAGCACATGTGAACTGAGAATGATACACCTCCGAGGAGGATGCTGTGCAGCCCCTCCCACTCCAGGCTCTTCCCCCCCGCCAGGGTGTCTGTCTCTCCATATCTGCTCACCTGTATTTCCAGGCCATAGCATGATGCTGGGCACATTGCAGTAAATGGCCATGGAGATGATGAACCCCATGGTCCTTCGACATCATTCTGAGTCGATGATCCCTCTGAAAACCGACCCAAATGGGTTAGTGTCAGCAAGAGCAGAGCTGAGGTGGCCCAATGCGTGATGTAGACATAGCAGGACTGGCCACACCCCCGCTAAGTGGACTCTGAGGTGGCGACTGGGAACCAGGGCCATCTGAGCACCACGTCCTTGCTGGTGTCCAGCTCTTGACTGGTGGAGAACCCTATGCATCTGTGAAACACGGTACAGTCTGTGACATGTCTGGTGACAGCTGGGAGAAGTGGCTGCTTTCGGAACATTCAGCAGAGCCCCCAGACAGGAAAGCAGCAGGTGACCATCCTGGGATGTTCTCGCCCCTTTTGACTCTGCTCTCTTGTCTCCCGACACCCCTTTTCTAGCTACTATGCCGTCCTGTACCCGATGGTGTACCCCATGAAGATCACCGGGAACCGGGCCGTGATGGCACTCGTCTACATCTGGCTTCACTCCCTCATTGGCTGCCTGCCGCCCCTGTTTGGCTGGTCATCCGTGGAGTTTGATGACTTCAAGTGGATGTGTGTGGCCGCCTGGCACAGGGAGCCCGGCTACACCGCCTTCTGGCAGATCTGGTGTGCCCTGTTCCCCTTTGTGGTCATGCTGGTGTGCTATGGCTTCATCTTCCGCGTGGCCAGGGTCAAGGCACGCAAGGTGCACTGTGGCACGGTGGTCATTGTGGAGGAGGATGCCCAGAGGAACGGACGGAAGAACTCCAGCACCTCCACCTCCTCTTCGGGCAGCAGGAGGAACGCCTTTCAGGGTGTGGTCTACTCAGCCAACCAGTGCAAAGCCCTCATCACCATCCTGGTGGTCATCGGTGCCTTCATGGTCACCTGGGGTCCCTACATGGTTGTCATCACCTCCGAGGCTCTCTGGGGCAAGAACTATGTCTCCCCGACCCTGGAGACCTGGGCCACGTGGCTGTCCTTCACCAGTGCCATCTGCCATCCCCTGATCTACGGACTGTGGAACAAGACGGTTCGCAAAGAACTCCTGGGCATGTGTTTTGGGGACCGGTATTACCGGGAGCCTTTTGTGCAGCGACAGAGGACTTCCAGGCTCTTCAGCATTTCCAACAGGATCACAGGTAACTTGGGCTCTCGCTGGGGAGGGACCCCCCCCCCCTGACACAGGTGAGGGACCCCCCCCGACACAGGTGAGGGACCCCCCCCCGACACAGGTGAGGGACCCCCCCCGACACAGGTGCGGAATGGAGTCCTCTTGTGAGTTCGTGGGCTGCCTGTGGCCTGCAGGCTGGAAGAACAGGTTTCCTTTGAGGAAGGAGTGTCCCAGACTCTCCACTGGGATTCCCAAGCAGCTTCCCATCCCTCTGCAGCTCACGGCCATGCTGATGGGGAGGCCAGCACAGCTCCCTGAAGAATTAAGCAGGGCACACCGCAGCTCAGCAGTGGGTTTCCTGAGACCCCAGCCATGGCCCACTGTCGCTCCCCGTCTTCGTGGAGGAACGACACAGGACCCTGCGCTGTTCTTTCGTCTGCTCGGCCCTCCCCGGGTTTGCTGCTGGTTCTTCCCGGGTTGGCTACCGACCCTTCCACCTCCGTGGAAGGGCGGTTCCCCCTGCCACATTCCCCACTTCCGCGGGGGAGCGGCACACCGCCGGCCGGCTCTCTCGGGGACTGCACAGGTGTTCCCTCAGATGTTCCCCTTAGATGTTCCTGGTGCATGCCGTCTCTCTCCTCCTTTATAGTCCTCCTCCGCCAATCCCAACTCGGCTGCCCACACGCCGAGTACGCTGCTCTCCTCCAATCAGGAGCAGGATCAGCTCCTGGAGGTCATCACTCAAGTTGGCAAGAGGCAGCTGCGTAGAAGCTGTTTTCTCCTCTCCCAGCGCCATATTGTGGGAGAGCAGATGCATAGAATAAGTCTTAATTCCAGTAACTCAGTCCAGTCCGGGTTGCTCCCCACAGCCCACTGGTTTTGAGAGAAGGAATTTGAGTGTTTGTTCAGACTGCCTTCTCTTCTTGGCCAGCCCTGTCCTCTCAGTGTGTTCCCTTGTCAGAACTCCCTGTCTACCTCTGCTGCTCTTCCAGCCTGTCCTCACAGGTCAGCAAGGTCTCTGGTAGCTCCGGCGGTGTTGGTATCAAGCCCCGGCCCTCTGTGGGAGCACCGCTGTCTTGTGCGTGCAAGGCTGGCCCTCTGCCTGGCAACTGATCCAGCCTGCACAGGTTTCCGAGTTCAACCCCAGCACCTTTGATGGGACCCAAAGAGTTAGCCTCACTAGGTGGTTAGATGAGTTGCAATAATTTTTAGATTTACAGCAGAGTTGGAAAAATAGCACAGAGAATTTTCAGACATCCAGCTGCCTGCAGTGTTAACAGTGGTGTTCAAACGCAAGATGTTAACATTGGAGCAGGGATAGTGACGGCAGCCTTGGTTCCGATTTCACCCATTTTCCCATTAATGCCCCCTTTCTGTTCAGGGCCCCACGTTATTGTTAGTTGACTGTCTCCCTTTGCCTTCTTCAGACCTTGCCAGGTCTTCATGCTTTTCTTGTCTTTTGTGGCGTTGGCATTTGTGCAGCGTGCTTGCTTGCCAAGAGTTTCGAAGAATGCCCTCCGATTAGGTTATCTGCTGCTGTCTCCAGATTAGATTTGTGTCATGCACTTTCTGGCAAAAAGGCCCCCTGAGTGAGGTGTTCTTAGTGCTCCGTGCTGGGGTGCGCACATGTCAGTCTGTCTTACCCTGGATCTCTCAGTTAAGGTACAGTCTGTCCACTTGCTCCGCTGTAGGATCAGCCTCTAACTTTTCTGTCATAATTCACAAATGCAACTGAGGAGGAAGCTCAGAGACTCCGCAGAGTCCCGATCCCCCTGCAACCTTCACCCCATGATTAGCATACACTGGCACATCTTCCCGCCCGCCCGCCCCGCCCCCCGGGGGTCATTACTGGATTGTTCACAGGCAGCTGGATTGTCAGGGTCAAGTTTGAGGGCAGCCATCATCTGGCCCAGCCATTGGAGAAGAGATTCAGACTACAGTTCTTGTATTTTTGTGGGGTGACTTTGGGCAAGTCTTCAAACCATTCTAGTTCATTTGTCCTCTTCATGCAATTGCGAGGTCTTCTGGCTTCTGTGTCAAGAAAAGTGGACGAAGTTATGACTCCTGGGGAATGCTCCCTGGCAGTAACCACAGGGGACTCTTCCCCCGTGTTAATGAAACTGAAGTGGATTCACAGGGTGTTATTTCTTGAGAGACAGGAAAGTAGTCTGGGACTTTTGATTTGATTATAAGAGAGGGGGAAAAAGTCTGTTTCCCAGTATTGTAACCACTGAAATGCCTACCTCTTGCCACTTGCAAATTCCCATTGTAACTCATGAACCAATTTGGCTTCATTTCACTGATGAACTTGCTTGTTCAGATATTTTTACAAATGACTTGTCTTCCAGGCAAATAGACAATGGATGTCTTCTATTCCAATGAAGTTAAGAATAAGGAAAGAAAGAAAAATGAGGAACAAGAATGAAGGTGGAGAGGGTAGACAGAACCTCTGCTTGAGGGCCGAGATTTTCCATGTGGTCTTCTTAGAAGAGGCTGTGAGAACAGACAGGGACAGCAGCCGTGCTTAGGTGGGCAAGGCCAAGGCAGCTGGTGGGTGGCCTCATCATTTAGGGAAAAGCAGGCTTGTGGGATGCCTTGGGCGGAAGAGCTTGTGGGATGATGGATCTGAGTCCTTGGCCTTCCGTAGGAATGGAAGCCGAAGGGGTCCCTGCTCTTCTGCCCTGAAGGTCCTGGTCCCAGGAGGAGGCCAGCCGCATCAGGATGAGTCTGGGAATAGCAGCATTTCGCGGTGCCCCCCCCCCCCCCAGCCCTGCGCCCTGTGCTGTGCATGCTGGGAGCATCAGCTGCCTCTCTGATGGAGAAGAACCTGGCCTCCAACTCACGTCCCTGGTCCGCTATGTGTGAGCCAGGCCTGACCAGACCTATGCCCCGCCCTCTGTGGGAATGGCTTTGACCTGTAGCAGACTCCTAAACCCACATCCATTTCCCTGCCATCAAGGCGCTTCCTTGCACCACCCCTCCCCACCCCACAGTGTAAGAAAGATGACTGAATCCCGTCCAAAGTCAGCATGAAATGACCTGGAGGCTCTGGCTGGGGTAGTTCCCCTCCATTTATGTGGGTACCTGGAAAGTTTTAACCAAGGAAACCAGTAAATGAAATTCCAAACTTTCCTAAAACAGTGCTCGCGAGCAGAGGCAGACACGGAATTCCTCAAATAGCTGGAGCTTCCCAGCCGACTCGGGTGCCGGGAGTTCATCAGCACATGACAGTGTTTATTTTGTACATAGCAGCTTTCAGCCATGATCGGTGGGTTTTGGTGTTCTCATTCTGTTCGCCCCAAACTGAAGACGCGCCCAGTCTGAGGCTTATTCTGGGGTGTCAGCTGTCACTGGGCTTGGGAGGTCTAATCAGAAGATTCCCATGGGGAGGGAGGACTTGCTTGGGAATGGAGACGTGGGGCTACCTGGAGATGGCCCAGCAGTTTTATTTCATGGTGGAGAGGTTGGCCCTGCAGTGTCGGACATTGGCTATTAGTGCTGAAACGTGAACTTAAAGGTTAACATTTGTCTTGGGATACTAAACCACAAGTCCAAAGCTGACCAGGGGTGCCTCGTGATGGGGACAGAGAAGAGACCTTCGGGAGAAAAGGAGAGTAGTTCCTCCACGAGCAGATCTTCTCCAGGCCTGGAGACCCCAGCCAGCGCCTGTTCCTCCAGTCACAGTGGGCAGCCTGGGCCTGTGGGGAAGGAAGAGAGGTCCACCCACATGCTGGGCCCCCAGGGGCTGTGCTTGAGCTTCTGGGCCTGGGGAGGAGGACGCGGACTCACCCTGGCAAAGGTGGCTCGTTCCAGGCCCTTCCCTGAGGGGTCTGGCCTGGACTGAGAGTAGAACATCCTAGAGTCTGAATTTTCCTCCCTGGCCTTTGGAAGTTCCTTTCCTGATGGCACCTGGAGGTCTCCTGGTTACTTCAGAGTGCTTGCCCTTGTCCTTAAGAGCTTCTAAAAGGCAAGCGCAAGCACACACACACACACACACACACGCACACGCCCATGCTTTTGGGGAGTCACACCCTGATCCCAGGGGCCTCCCTTTGTACTTTTCCCCTCCTTTTTTGCAAGGTTGGAGTGGGCCCAGTCCAGCAGATCTGCTATTGTTGTGTGCAAAACCTCCAGCTAACTCTGCCCACTTGCCAGTGGGAAACACTGGCTGGTATGAGAACAGAGAGGTGCCCTCTGGCTGCTCTGTTTCCAGAGCCGCACTGGTCTGGCTCAAAGGCTCCCCCCCACTGGAGGAGACCAAGACACGTTCCTGGCTTTTGCCACAGCCTCAGAGATGGTATCCAAAACCCACTGTGGCTTCCGCCATCCCGGTTGGCAGGGGATGGCGCTCTGCGTGCTCCACGGCCCACATCAGTCCTCCTGCTGAACACAGTCATGTTCACATGCAGAGATCCTGGAGGGCACGGTTGTGTGACATGTGGGTCTTTTCTGGTCCCAGCCCCTTACTGCAACCCACAGCAGAGAGCAATGCCCTTGCATAAAGTGAGATTCCTAAAAATATGAGAGGACTTTTTTTGTTTTTTGAAGATTTATTTATGTGAAAGAGAGAGGGAGAGATAGAGAGACATCTTCCATCCTGGTTCATTCCTTCAGATGCCCCCAACAGCTAGAATGGGACCAGGCCGAAGTCAGGAGCCAGGAATTTCATCCAGATCTCCCACATGAGTGGCAGGGGCCCAAGTACCATCTTCTGTGGCTTTCCCAGCCCATGGTAGGAGGTAGAAGGGCACTCTGATGACAGCTGCCCCAAAAGCTGTGATAACAGGAACCCATTCATAGAAGGGAGGACTGGGGCCACAGACGACCCGTTCCCCTGCAAGACCTGGCTGTGTTCAGCAGGGGGCCAGGCATGGAGCCTGCAGGGAGCTCTGGCCTGCCCTCAGCAGCCCCCATGGCCTAACTGGCTTTTGTCAGACTGCATTTCCTGAGCCGGAGATTAAGGTTCTAACACATGCGCTCTGGGGAATGTGTTCAGGCCATGTTAATTAATAAACCTGCGGGCTGCACATCTTCCTTGTGAGATCTGAGTTCACGTTCTGAGGTGTGTTAATTCTGAAGAACCTTGTATTATCTCCATATTCCTTTTTTTATCGTCTCTAGCTCTTTTTTTTAATGGATTTATTGTTTTTCTCAGCTTTCTGAGGATACCAGTTATATATATATTTCCTTTCTTAAGTTCCCTGCATTGTCTCTGGGATCCACGTATCTTTTCTTTTTTCCAGTCTCTGTGTTTCACACGATCCTTTTCCTTCAGTGCTGTCTCTTCACCTTTGATGATGAGGTGCAGGGAAGCCCTGGGGGCGGAGGCCTTCCTGCCTGGGGTGGGCCAAGGGGGGGGCACCTCACTCGCAGCAGCACCCGCAGCTCTTTTCTCTGGGGCTGGTTGGTTTTCGTAGGGCAGCCTTCTCCAAGCTGAGTGCCCCAGTGTTGAATCTTCAGACTGCTCCTTCCTTTTTACCGAGTCGCTCCTGTCCTTGGCCATTCCTGGCGCCTCCCAAACCGGCGCCCCCGGTTCACTCTGTCCACTTGTGCCAACATTGGGTGGTGGGTGCCCGAGGCCCAGCCTGGGGCAGAGCAGAGCAGGGGTCCAGCTGCTTCCCACACTGTTTCAGCCTGCTGCCTGGGGACAGCCTCCTGGGTCTCTGGTTCCTGAGGCCTCAAAGCACGGGCAGCTTCATTGTCCTCACCCATCTGCCTTCCAGCTTCCCACAGTTCCCTACCTTTGGGGGTCCAGGCCTCTGAAAACCTCCTGTCCTGGTATTCAAGCAGGGTCTCGGATGTGAAGGAGTTAGACTGGGGGTTCAATCCCCCACTCTGGCTGGAAGATCCCCTCACCACACTGTGCACTGCGGATTTGCCCGCCCGCCCGCCTGCCTTGCCGGCGTGGGGCACGGTGGGGGCAGTGTCCCCTGCAGTGAGTCCTGACACAATGGACAGAAACGTGACGCAAAGCGGGAGACAGCAGCTCAGGCCTCCAGTCCTTCAGGGGTCGAGAGCGGCTCTTGGCGGGGCCAACTGAGAACAGGAGGTGGGCGGCCAGGGCTTCCGTGCAGACGGAAATGGCAGAGCAAGCCCCGGGCCGCCCGGCTGCGTGATGGCGCCCTCAACGCCAACTTTGCCTTTCAGACCTGGGCCTGTCCCCGCACCTCACGGCGCTCATGGCGGGCGGCCAGCCCCTGGGGCACAGCAGCAGCACCGGCGACACTGGCTTCAGCTGCTCTCAGGACTCAGGTAACTTGCACGCCCTGCCGGCCTCTCAGGCACGGACGGACGCGGGGAGAGCGCCCTGGGCGGGACTTCCGGGCGCCGCCTCAGCGTTTCCGGCCACGGTTTCCTCTTCCTTGAAGTGGGGCGGAGCGGAAGCGATGGCGGTGGTCTTCGTGCACAGCTCGAAGTGCAGCTTTGGGGACGTTGCAGCGCGAGACCGGCCGCGAGCTGTTCCGCAGTTACTGTGGCCGCTGGCCGACACAGGCCCCGGGGTCCTATGGATTTCCGCTTCCGGTTCGTGTGAGGCAACTTGATGGAAGAGTGGGGCAGGTGTTTGGCTCAGCAGTTAAGCTGCACCTGGGGATCCCAGCATCCGACCCAGGGCCTGGGGTCAAGCCCCAGCTGGGCGCCCTGGCTCAAGTGAGTGGGCCCCTGCCACCCATGCAGGAGACCTGGGTTGAGTACAAGGCTCCTGGCTTCTGCCTTGCTCAGCTATAGCTGTTGTGTGTATGTAGGGAGTGCGGCCAGGGTTTGGGCGGCTTCTCTCTGTTTCTATCTTTGTCTCTCCCTGTCTTTGCCTTTCAAGTAAATATAAATAAATAAATAAAGGAAAGAAACAACTTAGAGTAAGCAGCAAGGGGAATGTAAGCAGAGCAACATGGGCTTTGGGGTCACACAGACCTGTGATTTACAACCCCGCCATCTCCTGGCTGTGTCTGTGTTGGTGAGGAATTCATTGGTTCAGCCTCTGTGTGTGCCAGATTGCTGCACTCTTCAGTTCATAATCCTCGCAGCAGATCTCTGAGGTAGACCGAAGGATGACCCCCAATTTACAGACGTGGGAGAATACTGAAGAATTCAGTAACCTGCCAGTGGTCCTAGGTCTGCCCCCCTTGAGCCTGTGTGCTTAACCGGAATATTCTGACGTTTCTTCTGTAGGCAAGAGAATAACACCCTTGCCATGTGTTTTGAAACAGCAATGAGGAGTTCCAGGCTTCCTGTTCTTCCTAGTTTCTTAGGCACGGAGGTCTTGATGGATTGAAAACTGGAAACTTATCCCCGTCCAGTGCCAGACTAGGGGGCATCATTGAGTGCCAAGTCCAGTCTGAGCCCTTGCTGCCTTCCCTGCCCTCTGTCCCCACCCCACCACCCTGAGCTCTGCCCAGCTCTAGAACTTGTAGGCGTTCCCTGATTCTGCCTTCATTTTCACACTGTGCTAAATCTTTACCTGCATTTTAACCATGGTGATAGGAATTCAGACTGTAAGAAGACTCACTCCAAAGACAAGGTGCCTTTTAATGGCACTCTGCTTCCCTTCCACCCCAGGGCTGGCAGGGATGACACTCCTGTGTCGTGTGAGTCATGACACCTAACCCATGGGATGATGTGGCCCCATTTGTTTTTGGTGGGATGATGGCCGAGGAGTCTCTCGGACAAGCACTTCAGGGCAGTTAGCTGCACCTGCCAGTGGGCTTGAGGAGGTGGAGACAGGGATTGGGTATGTTGAGAGAGGGGCGAAGGAAGAGGGGAGGAGGCAGGTGGGAGGATTTCGTGTTGCTGGTTATCTGTGCACACTGTGCCCTGTGCTGCAGGAACGGATGTGATGCTGCTTGAAGACTACCCATCTGATGATAACCCCCCCTCCCACTGCACTTGCCCGCCCAAGAGGAGGAGCTCAGTGACGTTTGAGGATGAAGTGGAACAAATCAAAGGTGGGTCTCAGAGACTGCTCGCTTCAAGAAAACACAGGGGACAAAGAAAATATCTCAGGTCAGCCCTAGCCCCATCCCAGAACATACCAGGGTTCCGTCACCTTTGCCCTCTGACCTCTGCCAACCCTGCTGGTCTCCCTTGAGTCCTTAGACACTTAACTCTAGGACAGCTGTCGAATACACATAGACATGTAGGCACAGACACATACGCATGGCACAGCCCAGATCTCTGAATCGGTGGCCCTATGAGCACCGCTGCTTCCTGGGAGCAGTTGCTGCCGCCTTGTCTATTGCTGGGAAGGTGCTGAGGACACGTGGGTCCTCCAAGGAAAGTGAGTTCCGCCAAGCTCAACTCCCAGCCCCCTTCTTGCCCCTTGGGTTTGGGGTGGTTTTCCCATCTGGACCTGTCGATTAAAAGGGTGACAGAGTCATTGTCCAGGCTGCCCAAGGATGTCAGCTCTCCCCCCGAGTCTCACCCAGTGGAGACAGCCGTCAACACGAGCAGGCCGTGGATGTGGTGGAGGAGGCCAGGGGTCTGGGGATGCAAGTTGTTGAAGACAGTAAGCATGGCCCGTCAGTGCGAGGCTCATACCGAATCATGTCATTTTTACGACCCTCACCCAGGAGTTCAGAAAGATCAGCGAGGTAGTCACGGAGGACAAAGGTTGCTACCAAATCATCTGCTTCGCCGAAAGCGGGTTCAAGGATGGCGCTTGGACCAGCAGCCCCATGGGCTTTATGCTACTTTTTCCCGGAAAAAGTGGACGTGCGTCTCCTCCCTGCCCCCGACGTGGGCCTGCGCTCGCCCCATCATGCCTGCCTCATGGGCTGGTGGCTCTGAAAGCACCCTCAGGCAGTGAGGAAGCAAAGCACCAGTGGGTGACATCGCCCCGCCCCCAAGACTGAGTGGCAGGCCGGAGACCAGGGTGTCCCTGGAGAACAGGGTGCAAATTGTTACTCTGCAGAAAATGTCAGGGCGGGATGAATTCTTCTCCAGAAATGTCCAGAGAACAGAGACAGGTTACTAATGTTAGGACAGGAGGTGTGAGGTAGAAGAGCCACGCCCTCCTCTTTCCTGTTCGCTTGAGCTGTCAGGGGCACAGATCCTGGGTAGGAACCGTCCGTGTCCCTGCCCCACCCTGAGGTTCCCCATGACTTGGAGCAAAGCCCTGGGCCAGCTGTAACCACTTGGAATCAACATTCATAGAGAGTGTTTATCAAGCCTTGTCTGTGGGCCAGGCCAAGGCTAAGCAACTTAGAATGAACCATCTCGGTAGCCCCATGAAATAAGAGGTATCTGCCAGAGGCAGAGACTAAAGCTAGGTCAGAGTCTCAGCTTTCGCAGGTGGGAAGTTGGGGAGTCCAGAATTTTCGTGTCGGGAACCTGACTTCAAAGCCGTGCCCTGGCCCTCTGCTTGCCTCCCGTCTCTGGGCACTGCAGCCGCAGCAGGCACAGCCCAGGCAAGTCGCTGTTCCTGGCTCCTCAGCTAACCCTTCTCCTGCTCTCTTCCCCAGAGGCTGCCAAGAACTCGATTCTTCATGTGAAAGCCGAAGTACACAAGTCCTTGGACAGTTACGCAGCCAGTTTGGCCAAAGCCATCGAGGCGGAAGCCAAACTCAACTTATTTGGGGAAGAGGCCTTGCCAGGGGTCTTGTTCGCGGCACGGACTGTCCCAGGGGCTGGCTCAGGGGGCCGCCGAGGCAGCAGAACGCTTGCGAGTCACAGGCTGCAGCTGCGGAGCATCGCAGAAGGGAACATTTTAGCCGCAGAACAGAAGTGAGGGCCTCGGGGCGGGCCGGGGCTGCAGTCGGAGATGCTGCCTGTGCCGGGCCCTGCCAGCTCCTCACTGCGTCCAGTGAGCCAATGCAGAGAAGCAGCAACATCTGGGACGCAGCCACCGGGAGAACTGGATATAGTCTCCAGCCTGGGGCGCCAGTGTCTGCTGTGGGACCACACGGGGGCGTCTCTGAGGCTTCTACTGTGCGTCGAAGAGCAGAGGGAGGTGTGGCTGTTGCCTGTTGGGAGGTGGGGCCAGAGAGGTTGGGGGCGGCTGGGGGAAGCCAGAGAGGCCGAGCTTGGAGGGAAGCCATCCCATGAGTCATTGCCTCCTCTTCACAACCTGTGGAGGGCAGCACGGTGCTTCTTAACATCGTCAAGTTCACGTCCAGGGCTGCAGCATGTTGAAACAGGCAGTGTGGGGGCAATCGGTTCTAGGCGGAATGGTGGGGCAGCGAGCACCTGGGAGCCTCCACACCCTGTCCTCGTTAGGACCCGGCTGTCCGTGGCCCTGCCTGCTGGTGCTGAAGGGAGGGCCCGTGCTGCCCCCATCCCTGCTGGCAGACATGGGGCATTTGGAAAGAGGGGAGAAACCACTACAAAAGACAGGAGGAAGGGGCAGGCACCAGGTGTTTCATTTCCAGGGCTTCGAAAGCCCTCTGGTTAGGGCACAGCACAGCATTCCTGAGACCGGATGGGACTGTGGTGGCGAGCACTGGCTGATAGTGTCTACTGGAGAGAATGCCGTCACATAGGGAAGCCTCACTGAACACTCTCTACGCGATGTTCCAGTGCCAGCACGCCGCCAAGAGCAAGTTAGGTTATGGCGACTCTGGGTCAGTGTGAGGTAGGAGAGAGACTGGACAGAGTGCAACCTGGGTTCCTGGCTCAGCCCTAGCTGTGTGCACACGTCCTCTGGAACATCCGGTCACCCCCTCTCTGTAAAATGGGAGAGGGAGTTGGATTGAATGGTCTCCAAGACCACCTCCTGCTCTGATCCTTGGTGTCCTCTTGACTACAGAGGTAGGAAAAACAGTAACAACAAAGTGGACCACAAATCTGCATTTGCATTCTTCTGCGTGTAGCTCCCAGTGGGTGTGAAGTGCCCTCGCGGACTTGGCTGCTGGGGCGCAGTGGCCCACGCCGAGACGCCGTGTGGAGGAAGAGGGGCTTTATGCCTCCTCTCCCTCAAGATGAAGCAGCAGCAGAAGTCTGGGCGTGGAACGATTGCTGCGGTGACTGAGGAAGCCACCGTCACCCCCTCCACTGCCCTTCCGGCGGCTGAGGAGCTGAGCCCAGGACCCAGGACCCTCCGTGCCTTGGTCAGCAGTGCTGGATTCCAAGGCCGCCTTGCTGTGCCGGCTCCTAGGCAGCTATTCCACAAAGGAATGACATCTGCGGGGTTTTCCTTGGGGTCTCGGTTGCTCCTGATGAGACACGGTCCTTTTGCTATGTGGCAGAAGGCAGTGATTGGTCCCGAGGCCTGGGACTTGGTTCCTTCGTGGTGACTGAATCCCACATGGCTCTTCTGGGTCCCGGTGTGTGCTGATGCCACGGGGCAGACTGCCCTCACTACTGGGTGGCATTTCTTCCTCCGATTGAGGGTGATCGAGGTTTTCCCTCTCTGTTCTGTGTAATTTCTTTCCTAGCACTTGTCTGGTTTTTTTTTTTTTTTTTCCCTCTATATTTATTTGAAAGACAGAGTTACAGAGAGAGGTAGAGACAGAGAGGTCTTCCATCCACTGGTTCACTCCCCAGATGGCTACAACAGCTGGAGCTGTGCCAATAAGGAGCCAGGAGCCTCTTCCAGGTCTCCCATGTGGGTGCAGGGGCCCAAGGACTTGGGCCATCTTCTGCTGCTTTCCCAGGCCACAGCAGAGAGCTGGATCGGAAGAGGAGCAGCCGGGACTAGAACTGGCACCCATATGGGATGCTGGCGCTTCAAGCCAGGGCTTTAACCTGCGCCACCGTGCCGGCCCCTTGTCTGGTTTTCTAAGGGACCATGTTCCCCATCAGCAGTAAGCACAGACATAGGACAGGGCCATGAGGCCTTTACCTCCAGGCTCGGTCACCAGGTAGGCCCTCTCCAGCACTGCAAATTGGCTTGGAACCCAAGGGCTGGGGAAGGCGCCCCTGACTGCCTGCAGCTGGGCTCCAGGGAAGAACCCTGGGACCACCCAGGTCCCCACTGGCTGACCGCAGCCCAGCTGGGATGTGATGGGAGTTGATCTGAATTGGTCTAGAAGGACTGCATTTCACAAAGGGACTCAGTTCCCCCTTGTTTTTAAGCCGAGGTGTGTTTGACACTACACAAACACCGTGTAAAAGGACCCTCCCAGGCTCTGCGGGCAATAATGCTGGTGTGTCTTTCCTGTGCTCCGTTAGGGAGAAAGACCTGGGCAGGTTCTAATAAAACCTCCCAGGCAGTGATGAGAGAACTGTGGCACCAGCATGGGGGTGGTATTTCCAACCAGAAGTTAGGCACAGCTCCTTTGAGGTTGGGTGACCATGGGAGCTAAGTCTCAGGGGGTGTTTGGCAGCTGGGGCCATATTTTGCATATCCAGGAATTCAAATTTGCCTTAATGCAGCTGAGAGAGGTGGAAGTGGGAGTGGGGAAAGAGAATCTCCCTTCCATACGTTCCGAGGACCCGAGAGGCATTTCTGAGGAGCGCCCCCACCCGCTCCCACTAAACCCAGGCTCATTAGCTGTGAATTGCTGTACAGTGGCAGGCTTAAAGCCACCCAGAGGGGACCTTGTGGACACTGGCAGGCGGGACTTCTGGCCACTTGTTTGCTTAAATCCCTCAGTCCTGGGTCTTCCAGTTGTGGGAAGACCACTCTTAGGGCTGCTGGCCATCTCTGCTTTCCTCACTGAGCTTCCCAGCTGCCAAGGTGCCTGTGTTATGCTCCAGAATGGAGGTTGCTGTGACCCAGAAGGCACTGGGAGTCCCACATGACGACGTAGCACACTGCTGCACCTCAGCTCTTCCCCGGGCAGGACACAAGACTGGAGTTCAGGACCTTAGACTCTAGGTGGCAGCAGTGTGGCTGTGCAGAGCCTCAGCCAAGCTGTTCTTGGCAGACAGGAAGCACCACCCCTGAGCCTGCTTCCCTGAGTGACCCCAGTCAGGGTCACAGGTGCTGCCCCCACTCAGCTGTGTGGTCTTCCACAAATCGCTGCTCCTGGAGGAGCGGGTTAAGGTCTGTAAGACAAGGGCCACCTAGCACCAGTGTTCCTGGGTTCTCTCGAGGGAGGAGCTGCTGAGTCTGCAAAGAGCTGAGCAACCAGGGGGATGACCTCAGTATGTGCAGTCGGGACAGGGGAAGGATGCACAGCGCTCTGATACAGTGAGAGCTTGCTAAGTCTGTTTAGAGTTAACTCTGAGCGTCCCATCCCGAAATGCCTGAGAGAGACACACGCAGACATGGATGCATCACAGGATGCTCCGGAAATGTGTTCAGCCTGGAGCGCCTTCTGTCTCCTGTCTGGTGGGTGACGCGAAGTGGCCATGCAGAGAAGGCAGGAAGCACGTACTGACCGGTTACATCTAATGGTGACGGACACTCCATTAGGCAGTTCCCAAACTTCCTTTCACTTCAGCACAACCGTGACATGGAGAAGAGTGCAAACGTGGGTGTGGTGAGGTCCCAAGTTCTGATCCCGGGCTGCCACTTACTGGCTGCGTGTTCGGGGCAAGTGAGTGTGTGTGCCTCTCAATTCCATTATCTGTAACGTGCAGTTCTGTAGTCATTTCCTATGTAGAGAGACAGGATTCAGTGGCCTCCCTCACAGGGCGACTGTGTGGATTCCAGGAAGACATCTTGGGAAGCATCGGACACGGAACACAGTATCTGGGGTGCGGTGGAAGCGGAGCCGCTGGCCTTGTCTTTAACTGTGAGGGGGGTTACTCTTGTTTTACAGGAATCTCTGTTACCAAGTGGGAACCTTGAGATGATAACCACTTAGGTGGGAGGTGTTGAAGGTGCTGCACAGGAATTGTGAGTTCTGTACACCCAGGACTCTTGAGAAGGGACGGGGTGAGAAAGCAGAAGGCAACAGAGTCGGGTGGGAAGGCAATAAATAGCATTGGTGCTCATAAAGTCTAAGGGAGCACAAGTGAGCTTCTCTGTTAAAAATTATGTACCCTCTGTGCTACTGGCCTGTTTGCACAAAGATGAAATAATTCTTTGAGGATGATTCGCCCCTGGGGCCAGGTGGAGTCTCACATCACCACATAAATTCAGCCCAGAGGGGACCCTCTCCCAGGAAAGTGCCCCAGGTGCTGCGGTGAGAGGGACTGCCTGGCTGACTCGGGTTCACAGAATCCCTAGTCTTCTGAGGGTAGAGGCAGGGCAGAGGGAGCACACCACACACAAAGTATGCAGGCCCTGGGACGGGGGGGTGATCCCAGTCTCCAAAGGAAACCGGCTGCGCTCAGCCAGCAGTGTCACTGCGGGGAGGGGCAGAGCCATACTGTGCTTGTGGGTTGGGCAAAAGGGACACAGAAGTTAGGGAGGCCTAGGAGGAAAGTCCAAGGCTTCAAAGTGAGTAAGTAAAGCCAGAATCGTGGCTGAATTCCAGGACCTGGCCATGGGGCTGAGAGGAGCGGAGCCAGCCTGTGGCTCAGGGGGAGGGAGAGTTCAGAGTGGTCAGTATTAGACGAATGGGTCCGTGAGGCTTTATTACATAGCTAGGAGGGGCATGGCAGATAATCAGATCTAGGTCAGACCTAAAGGAACCAAAGGCCCAAGGCAAGTGGATTCACTGGGAAGAATTCAAAGCACAATCTCCACAAGAGTTCCCAAAGCACGAACTTGCTCAGTGTTTCAGGAGAATGTGATACACAGAGCCGCATGCGTTTCCCTCAGAAAGCATTTTCCTGAGCAGGGACAGGGACGGGAATTAGGAGCCACCTGACACCATTCTGAAATACTGCAAATCACACACCAGGCAGCCTCTCCCAGAGGGAAACCGTCTCAGGGAGGTTCATGGCCTGGGCCACAGCACGGGTAGAGCCTGTTTGTTCATTAACAGGTCTGTCAGGGATAATGGGCCCCTGGGAGCAGAAAAGGTTAAAAACCAATCCCCCCTCCAAAAAAAAAAATCTAAAATATATTTAACTTGAAGTTTCTGGATGACATTTTAAAAAGATTAAGTGTTTAGGATTATAATATTTATAAGCAACTAGAAGTATATTTAGGTAGTTTTGTTTACCTGATTCAATATGGTTTTGGGATGTGTACAGCTGTGGACTATGTGGACTCTGTACTTGGACTTGTGGTCCGTGGGCTTTTTCTGGGTGCCTCTGCCTTCTCCCCTTTTCTCCAGCAGGGAGGAGTAGGCTGTTGCAGAACTGGGGGAGTGGGCATACTGAAGTCATCAGGTGTATCTATCCAGGCATTTTTCAGAAATTCCTCCAAGGCTGTTACTTTCATGGAGTATTGTTAAATGACCTACTTCTCACCATGGCCAAGATACTCTAAACCCAGTCTTTAAAGAAGACCTAATGAATGCTATTATCTATCCATGTATTTATTGATCAATCAACAGACTTATATTTTCCATTCTATAATAAAGTCAAAGAGGATGAATGGCAGATTTTCATTATTCTGAGACTCAGAACAAACTCAGGACACGAAACTCCCCCCGCCGCGGATGGGCATCTTCCCCTTCCTGAGTGGGTAGGCGAGTCACAGGTCCTAGCTTTCTGGGGTCCTCCCCTGTGGAATCTTGGAAGTGGCAGGACTTGTTAAGTCTTCCTCTGTAGAATATTTTCTTTGTTTCCTTTCCGGTTTGCCCTACTTCTGAATAACAATATTCAACACCAAAATTCTCTGCAAAATCACCTTGGATAGGGGAAGTAATTCTCCACTGCCTTCCCGGGGCCCCAGCAGAGAGTTGGAAGAGGAGCGACCGGGACTAGAACCCGGGGTGCCAGCGCTGCAGGCAGAGGATTAGCCTAGTGAGCTGCGGTGCCGGCCTTGACAAATGCTTCTTAAAAATACTTTAAAATGTATTTTTAGGAGCAGTTTTAGGTTCACAGCAAAATGGAGCAGCACATACAGAGTTCACATGCCCTTTCCTGGCTCCATCAGCAGCCTGTGCCAGTGGGGACAAACACCACTTCCGTTTTCTTCTCTTGCCAAAGAATGACTGACGACTCCTTAACTCCACCGAGTCCTCTAGTGGCTTCCGATCTCTCAGTTTCCCCCACCTGTCTGCAGTGTTATCTGTGTGGTGTTACAACTGAAGAAAACAGCATCACATTGTGGGCGGTGGTGCTGACACAGCCAGTGACATAGGTGGGGGAAATACAATCACCTCCTTTAGAGAGGAACCCCGAGGAATCAGAAGGCTTAGGCAGGGAGCATAAATAACGGGCAATGTACTATCCAGAAATCACGCAGGAACTGTCTGATTTCTTTCTGCCTCTGACCATTTACCTCATGTTCTAATGTGGATACGTACGTGCCTTTGCCCACAGCAAGGGCTAGATGCTGCAGTCCAGCAGAACTTACTGAGTCGATGGAACTTACTTTCTCCCTGTACTTATCTGTGCAGCAGTGGCCCTGGGCTTGCAGCCATCTGATAGGGGACAGAGATCCCTGTTTTCTATACCAAGACTATTTGTGCTCAGTCTGAGACAGGTTATGCCTTACCCTCTCCCAGACGCATTAGCGGGGAGCTGGACAGGAACCGGTACCCATATGGGATGCTGGTGTTGCAGGTGGCAGCATAACCTACTACACTGCAACACTGGCCTCATGCCTTACTTTTTTTTTTTTTTTTTTAAGATTTATTTATTTCTTTGAAAGTCAGAGTTAGAGAGAGAGAGAAGGAGAAGCAGAGAGAGGTCCTCTGTCCACTGGTTCACTCCCCAATTGGCCACAACAGCTGGAGCTCTGCTGATCTGAAGCCTGGAGCCAGAAGCTTCTTCCAGGTCTCCAACGTGGGTGCAGGGGCCCAAGGACTTGGGCCATCTCCTACTGCTATCCCAGGCCACAGCAGAGATCGGAAGTGGAACAGCCGGAATTCAAACTGGAACCCATATGAGATGCCAACACTGCAGGCAGTGGCTTTACCCACTACTCCACAGCACCGGCCCCTCCATGACTTACTCTTAATATCTGAGTTAGTCCCTCTCTCCAGGATAGATTTGGGGCAATAAAAGGAACATTTAACTATTTGTTAATTAGTCTATAACAGCTGTGTTATATTTAGAAAAAGAGGGCAGCTGTTACAGCCAAAACATTAAAGCATCGTGAGACAGGAGCCCAGGCTTGAGGCACCCGAGGCAGAAGCCAGACCTGCGCTGCCCGGGCCGCTCTGAACACTGCACACAGTCCTCGACAGTCTGGTACCCACCTCCAGGGTGCGGCCACGAGCTGCTGCTCGAGCTGGAGCTGAAGGTGATGAATGTTCACAACCCACAGCTCTGACCCTGACAACTCCAACTCGTCCTTGGGTCAGTCTTACAAGATACCTGGCTTCAAGACAGGGTCAGGGATCACTCCAAGTGTCTCACTCAATTTCTTCTTCAGCTGTTGGCTGCCAAGGAGGCAGAGTGGTGATCAGTACTGGCTGGACTATAGGTTACACAGCAGTTGTCGGGGTCGGTTTCTGACTTTTCCAAGTGGAACAGTTCCCAAGAACTCAGCCACTGGAAACACACAGGTGTTTCAGAACACTGCTGTGCATCACTGCAGAAGCCTATAATACAGCCAATGTCCAGTGTGTGTACGCATGCATATGTGTGTGAGTGTGTATGAGAGGGAGGGAGAAGGGAAGGTGGAAGGGTGACAGCCCCTCTGAAACTGTCCTTTTGGACCACTAAACCCTGGACACACCATGCTTGCTTCTTTGCCTCCAAGGTATCACAGGCAGCAAGTTAACTGCCTCTCTCCCACCCCGCAGATCTGGCTTCTGAAAAGACCCTGGACATCAAGAAGATAGCAAAAATGAGCCACAGATGTGTACTATGCCCATCTGGATGATGACGAGAGATTAGAAAGTATAAAAATAGGGGCAAGTGTGTGGCACGGTAGGTTAGGCTATGGCCTGTGCCACCAGCATCCCATACAAGCACCAATTCAAGTCCTGGCTGCGCTGCTTCTGATTCAGCGCCCTGTTAATGAGCCTGGGGACACAGTGGAAGATGGCCACAATCCTTGGGCCCCTGCACCCACATGGGAGATCGGGCAGACTTCCAGGCTCCTGGCTTCACTCTGGTCTAGCCTTGGCCATTGCGGCTACTTGGACCATGAGCCAGTGGATAGAAAATTCTCTAACTCTGCCTTCAAAATAAACAACTTTTTAACAAAGTATGAAAATAAGAGAATATTTTGTTACTGAGAAAAAATTTTACTTATTTTCTGAATGGATTGAAGAGATGTGAGCATGTGATTAGACTGATGAAAAGATACCAGCAGGATGAAAATGTAGGAGTGTTAACTCCCGGAGTGGTTTTAGGTCATAACTTTAAGCTGCATGTATTTGGGTGCAGATGGCTCAGTGGAGGTAGCCAGTAGAGTTAAGGATGTCTGGAAACTAAAAGACTATAGACAGTCAACATCTTGCAGTGAAATCTAGAATGTGGCGAGAGCTAGACCAGATGCCTGTGCCCTCAGAACCAGTTTATGCTAACAGGTGAGGTGAAGTATCCAGGACGCCGTCAGTGATTTTGGCTGGTGACTAACTCCTACACTTGACTAATTACGTACTGGCAATCATAAGAAGTGACTAGAGGTCAAGATAAAAAACTGGAGAGAAAAATGAAAGCAGCTCTTTGGTGTGATTCTATCCTACAGAAGTCAAAACAAATGAGGTTATTAATCTATAAAGAACAAAGGAAAAATATTCTTCTTATGTTACAGAAAATACTGGAAAACCATGGATCAAAATAGTAAGGCAGGGGTGGCGTTTGGTCTAGTGGTTAAGATGCTGTCTCTGCCACCCACTTGGGCAAACTGAATTAATTTCCTGGCTCCTGCACGTGGCCTGGCCCAGTCTAGTGGCTGCAGCCATTTGAGAAGTGGACCAGCAGACTCGAGTTCTGTCTGTATCTGTCTCTCTGAAAAACTACGACAAAACAAACAAAAGCATTAAATGAAAAGTCAAATTTAGGATATCTTAAAACAACCAACTTCTTTAATCAGAAAGTAACAAACATGCAAATGGCAAGTGTAGAAATTTATTTGAACCAACATTTTCACTATAATGGAAATTATTCTTCAACATTGATCCAAGCTCCCACATCTGAAGGTTAGGGGAAATATTGCACTTTGCATTTTCTAGCACTTCTCATACACGCAAAAGGTTTTAAAAACATTTTGCTAGTTTTGTTTTACACACACTCTCCCAAATTCATGCACACACTCATTCCAAACCAATGTTAGGTTATCCCCAAAAAGGGGAAAAACTCCAAAAAATCATAACCTTAAAATTGCACTAAAGTTCTGTCAAGAAAAAAAATATAATAAATTGTCTTATACAAATTTCAGAACATCTGAGTGCTTGCCAAAAGAGGTGGTTATTACTCGTCCTCATTTTCATTCTCCTGGCCAGAGCCTTCTGATCTGTCACCCTCCAACCGGTCTGGAGAACAAACAGACAGACAGGCATGAGAACTGCAGAAATACTTAAAGCATTGAAATTATAAATAGTTTTCAATGCCATTTATTTAAAACTAATGAAACCATATAAAATTCAATGTTATCAATGTGTAAAAATCAGCTCACTACCACAGGCAGATAAGTTTTTTTTTATTTTGTTTTTGTTGTTGTTTGCCCTTAGAAGTACATTTTAAAAAGAGTAAGACAACAGCTCTATTAGCTTAGGGTATAAATGTAACTCTAAAACATACAATAATTTTAGAAGACTTTCCCTAAAGATCCAGACGGGGCACTGTCGACTCCAGTGTTCTCATGGTCTAGTTTTCTAAGGAGGTGTATCAGGTGCTATCCAAGGAGAACGAGGAGGCTGTGTCAGAGAACACAGTAGCATCTTCCTGAGGACTATGTAAACTTGTCGGTAATAATTTCTTGCTGTATCCTAGTCAAGAGCAGCAAGGACAATGCAGAGGATGCACTATATGTTTAACTTCCATGTGAATTAGATTAACTCTCTTCCCAGCAGACGCCACTTCCAATGTCAGAGCAATGAAGCAAGGGCTAAGATTTATTGCTTTAATTACACAAATTTTACCTTTATGTAGGTACTCATAATACATTTATAAGAGAAATGAACATGATAATATCTGAATGAGTCACGAAGGAATCTAAACACAGTGGAAGAGTGTCTAATAAATGGCTGCCAAAGGGATGTCATTATACAGAATGTCACATTATTATCTTTTCACTTTTTTAGCCCTACTACAGGTATACTTTGTTTTAATGTTTGTTTGCATCTACTTGAAAGGCAGAGCAATGGGGGGAAAGAAGGAAGTAGGGGATGGGGGGAGGAAGGGAACAGAGAGATAGATCTTCCATCTGCTGGTTTACTACCCAATGCCCGCCACAGCCAGGGCTGAGCCAAGCCAGAGCCAGGTGCCAGGAATACCATCCAGCTTTCCCACTTGAGCCACTTGAGCCGT